GTGTCTATTGGTTAATTCGCTCGTCGAGCCCTTCGTCGCAAGCGACGGGTTCGACGAGGACGATGACCGGTGCTTGTGGTGCCTAAAAGCACCGTTAATGGATCGGGAGCATCCGTAATGACGTGCTTTGGGTGACGTCGACTGTTTACCATTCAGTCTACAGGATTGGGTATGTAGTTTCCAGTGGCCACGACAAGAGGGTTCTCAGGTCGTGCCGCCTTCTCAAAGTGGCGTAATCTTAAGTGAGAGCAATTAAAAACATAATTCCATCTTGAAGTATCCACAGATACAAACCGACGGATAACTTCCACTTTCAGTACCTACTAGCGTAGACGTTTTACAAACGCATCTCAAACGTAATGGAGAAAAGGACTCATCCGAAATCATAAGGCAACAAGTCTTTTTGGCTAGATTTTTGACAGGTACATGCGAATTAAATTTGCCTTCACGGTAAGAGTCAGACCAGCTATAAACAGGACGGTAAGCGACAGTATCCTGGACCTATTTGCTACATCTTCATGCCAGTCCAGTTTTCGTGAACAGAGCTTTTTTCCAAGCATTTTTTTGGCACGTACCGCTTTGGAATGAACTTCCCTTCAGAGATTCCTAACACGTATTTCTTCAAAAGAGCTTTACACCGGTAGGCAGCGACATTGCTGGGCACCTGATATTGCTATCCAAGAGCGATGGTAACCACTGACCATTAGGTGGGTCATAGGTTCGTCTACAAGGGCAAAAAAAAACGTATTCTGATTTACTTCCCCATAAAACTTACTAAGCTCCCCCCAAACACTAACAAAGTGATCCTATTTGCTAGTGATACTCATCTATTTTAATTTGCGTAATTATTGATGGTAGGACCTCTTGTAAGTACGCGCGGGTAGGTACCACCACCCTGCCTATTTCTGCCGTGAAGCAGTAGTGTGTTTCGGTTTGAAGGGTGGGGCAGCCGCTGTAACTATACTGAGACCTTAGAACTCATATCTCTAGGTGGGTGGCGCATTTACGTTATAGATTTCTATGGGCTCCAGTAACCACTTAACATCAGGTGGGCTGTGAGCTCGTCCACCCACCTAAGCAATAAAAATAAATAAAAACTATCATCCGGCTTTAGAATGAGCCTCCACGGTGTCTCTCGAGCGCTATGACATGCTTCAAACGAGGCAGCTGGAGTTTATTACACGGTAGGCAGCAGCTTGGCTCTGCCCCTAGCATTGCTGTTGTCCATGAGCGACGGTAACCCCACACCATCAAATGGGCCGTATGCTCGTCCGTTTACAAGGTCAATCAAAATAATATTTATTAGTATTTTTTGTCTTCAAGTTTAAGATTTGTATGACATAGTTATCTGAGGAGCGTCAGAACAAAAACCGATAAATCACAAAGTCACACTTGTGTTTTTTGTGGAAAAACTTTTGTGGACTTAAACGAAACTATCAATTTATTAGTGTTAGCACGGGAACCATTTAATTAATTGGATCAGAGATTAGAAGGCGTGTCAGATCGTGTTACCTAACATCGCTCGAGGTGTGACTACGTGAAATCTCAAGTCTATGCAGACAAACCGCAGTCTATAGCCGGCCTGAAGGCCAATATAACTCGCGCTCTTCGTGACATTGGGCCCCGATATTGGTGTATCTTGGATACAGCACCTACAGCGGAGTCGCGGCGGCCATTTGCCCGAATTTATATTAGAATACCCATAATTACTTCGAATAATCTTTAAAATAAAATAAAAATTGTGGCAGTATCACTTATACAGGCTTTTTTATTATTTTTAAATTCGAGCACTCTTAAGCGCCCTGTAAACGATCTTGTTTGACAAATTTGTTTGTCAAACCAAAGATCAAACAAGTTTGTTAACTTGCCAGTAGATTCGGTTTTCTCCTCGCCGTAACAAGACGTCGTGTCGAGCAACGACTGTGATCTTGTTTGACAAACACTCCCATACACGTTCCAACTTGTTTGTCAAACACGCCGTCAATAAGGTTTCCATCAAACACGTCAAACACGTAGACTGTTTGACAAACACGTCAAACAAAGCTGCATATTGTCAAATAATTTGACAAACAATTTGATTGTTTACAGGGCGCTTTAATAAAATACTCTTTATAAATACGGGTTACTTGTGACGCACAACACATTACGACTCGAGCAGCCGAACGGTGTGGAGCTCTCTGTAGTTATTGTTGTACACTTGAAATTCAATAAAAGGTATTGTTTAAAAAAATAAGTTTTAATTACTGTCACTACGGAAGGCAGTGGTTATGAAGAAGACAATGACGTCAACGACACTGACGTCATCATTTTAAGAACACCATGGAACCACCCACTCCTTCATATACATATAACGAATTTACATAGTCTCGAAAGTATGAACCAACATTCCATATAAAAGCACAAAAAAAACAATCACCTAAGATGCGTGAACCTATTTGCGGAATTAATATCGGAAACGAAAATTAAGGTGTTTAATATTCGAGTGTCGTAACAATAACATATCTGCCTCATTTAAATAACAAAACCGAATAAATACCATTTATTATTTGAATTATCTAACATTTGTCTATTCCGGTATAAATACCGAAAACGCAACTTTACCATTTAATTTTGTAATTTGAAAATTAAACGCCTGTATGTACCGTATTTTTCTTTACCTAATCGTTGGTAACCTAACTATACCAAATTCGCGCGGACGGGTAGATAAGCTCACGGGCTCAACTTGGGAGAATTTGCTAACACTGGCCCTAGCAAGAGCAGTGCTTCGCAGAATCCACCACCGGATCGGAATCGCGAGCCACTGAGAAGATCCGGTGGGTAACTCAGTGATGTATATAAGCTAAGTTGCACGTCGAACTTTTGGCTACCGGTGCTTTGGGGAGAGCTTAAAAGCACCGAGAGCGGTCTTAGACGACGGCGGCTTTAACACTAAACATACAGCTTAATGGGTCAAATGACCCATTTTGAACTTTTGCAGCGAAAATGCACGTACCATATTATTGCTTTTGCACATTTGACTTCATGATTTTTTTATCAGTTAATCTACAGTTATTCTACAATTTTTTTGTTTTGTTTTGTTTATTTTGAGTAATACTTGTCGTATACCGTCATCTACCCTATACGGTACAAATAGGTGTCAGTAAGCGTTGGTATGATTAGTGTTAATGACTATGCCGCCGGTACCGAAGTTGCGTTGACACACGACCATAGTCACAGAGGAAGACTAAGTCACTACGGGCACGAAACTTGCGATGGCCGAGCGATGGCGCAGCGGCGCGACGGCGATGTATACAAAAGCATTGCACAGTATAGGGACGGGCACGAAACAGGCGATGGGGGAGCGGTTTTTTTTTTTGTAAGCAGACGAGCATACGGCCCACCTGACGGTGAGTGGTTACCGTCGCCCATGGACTTCAGCAATGCCAGGGGCAGAGCCAAGCTGCTGCCTACCGATCGAGCGATGTACGGGCGACGCGGAAGCGACGAGAATAAACTAGTTTGGTTTCGTCGCTTGCGTGGGTAAACAGTGTTAAATTGAATTATTATTTTAGTAATGGAAATTGATAATGAGGAATTTATAATTTAACAATTTTTTACTGGTGGTAGGACCTCTTGTGAGTCCGCGCGGATAGGTACCACCACCCTGCCTATTTCTGCCGTGAAGCAGTAATGCGTTTCGGTTTGAAGGGCGGGGCAGCCGTTGTAACAATACTTGAGACCTTAGAACTTATTCTCAAGGTGGGTGGCGCATTTACGTTGTAGACGTCTATGGGCTCCAGTAACCACTTTACACCAGGTGGGCTGTGAGCTCGTCCACCCATCTAAGCAATAAAAAAAAAAAAAGAATTTAAAATTTCATTGAATGACACCTTAGCGCGTAATAAAGCGTAGAAAATTCTCCCAAATTGCGTCTTCGTGGATTTATTGGAAGAACACCATCTCTAAGTAATCTATATTATTATATTAATACATCCATACTTTGTATCCTTTTTACGAAAATTGCGCGGACGGAGGAGTATGAAATTTTCTACACTTACAGAAAATATAGAGAAGAAGTGCACAATGCTAATATTTTTATTATATAAAATAATGCATAAAAGATACATTAAATCAATAAAGACGTCTGTTGTCAAATTGAGATTAAAAATTGTTTGTCTTTGTTAATATTTTTTATAGCGCAAATTTGGCGAAATTTGTGATTATAGAAGTATTTTAATCATAATAGTGTGCACAAACTTACAATTCCAATTAATTATAGTCGAATTTCGACTACTGCGGGACCTCTAGTAATAATAATTCCCTCATCAGGGGACTAGGCTCCAATAGTTCTTTTCGACGTAAACTCATGATTCGCACAACACTGTATGAGCGCGACTGCCCGCGAGCTTGTTTCGTGCCCGCGCGAGATATCGCTGCCTGCCCGCCCCGTGTCGCGTCACACCGCTTCGGCCATCGCGAGTTTCGTGCCCGTAGACTAAAGGCGAATTTACATTACGAAATTAGTGTCATCCAACTAATTTCATAGTGTAGACGCCACGTGAAACTAATGTCGCGAAAGGGCCTGCGCTGTGCGGACGTGTGTATTGTTAGTTCGGACGCGCTTCAAGCGTTGAAAATGGCAAACCAACGATGGAGTACAGATAAAAATATAGATCTTATTAATGAATATCAGCGACAAGGGTGTCTCTGGGACCCGAAACACCTACAGTAAAAAATCAAAATTATCTTCACTCATTCGAAAATAGTTTCTATAACTCTCAGGATCTTCATCTGCTAATTCAGAGACTAACTTCATTGTACCTAAATGCCTTCTTGTTGACCATCCTCGAATCTACCAACGTGTTTTTTTTCTTGATAGTGTTTTTTTTAAGTTTATAGGTTTTATGTTTAAGCATTTATTTAGCTACATTGAATATAGCAAATTATAGCTTTGATGCTGAAGGCGCCATGATTACTGCGATACTGTGGATTTCGCGACTCTAATTTTTTAACGAAATTACTTTCGCATATATCGAAACTACTTTCGTGAAACTGAGCTCAACTTGCATGACACTAATTTCGTAATGTAAATTCCGCATAAGGACAGGTTTAAGCTATGTACTCACGTTTCTTGGGCGACTCGGCGTCTGAGCTTTTCGACTTCTTCGTACGTGACGTGCTCGCCTTGATTGGGGCGGCGCGCTTCTTAGGCTTAATCTCATCCCCGACTGTCACCGTCTCGGCGACGTGCTCCGTCTTAATTGGAACCTCGTCGAATTCTGTAATTAAATTACATTCATCATTATTCTTTGGCAATTCATTCACCGTCCAGGCGGTTCGATTGTGGAACGCTCTGCCGGATGCAGTGAGAAGTGCTCCAACTTTAAGCTGTTTTAAAAGAATGGTGAAGGAACACTACTTATCTGCTTAGTGCTGTTTGTTTGCATCATTATCATTTATCGTTTCCATACTGTTGATTTATTATGTGTGTGTGAGTACATTAGTATGTATTGTATGTAAGTATCTATATTGGTATATATTATATGTAAACGGTATATATCTGTTTATTATCCATACTAATATTATAAATGCGAAAGTAACTCTGTCTGTCTGTCTGTCTGTTCCTCTTTCACGCCTAAACGGCTGAACGGATTTTGATGAAATTTAGTATGGTGATAGATGATAACCTAGAAATGGTCATAGGCTATAAATAATCACGCCATCGTTCTTAGGGGGTAGGCAGTAGGCAGATAACTAAATTGAGTTAGTGATTTTTAGTCGTTTTTGTTGGGACTTTTGCTCTTTCACGTATAAAAGGCTGAACAGATCTTGATGAAATTTAGTAAGGTAATAGATGGTTACCTAAAAACGGATATAAGATCAAAATGATCACGTCATAGTACTTAGGGGGTAGGAAGTAGGCAGAAAACTGAATTGAGTTAGTGATTTTTTTATGGTTTTTGGTGGGAGTTTTGCTCTATCATGCCTAAACGGCTGAACGGATTTTGATGAAATTTAGTTAGGTGATAGATAGTAACCTAGAAAAGGATATGGGCTATTAATATTCATGCTATCGTACTTAAGGCGTAGGCAGTAGGCAGAAAACTAATTAAGTTAGTGATTTTTAATAGTTTGGTTTAAAAGTTTACCTCATTCACGCCTTAACGTCTGAACGGATTTTTATAAGACTTGGTTAATATAAAGATAGGATCCTAGGCACGGACACAGGCTACTTCTTACGGCGGGAAAATACCTCATTCCCGCGGAAATCTAGCGTGATCGTGTCAAGAAGCGAATGACGCCATAGCTACTGAAATGATTTTGATGTTTTTTTT